CCTGCTGAATCCTGGAACTCCAGAGCCTTCTTCTTCATAGATAAAGAATCCTTCCAAAGATTTTGGCAAATGGTCCCCTGTGAGGAAAAACATACAATTAAGAAGAGTTGTAAATGCTCAGAGTCTCTTAGGATCATCTAAAACCTTAAAAAACCCTTGTAGGAAGCTGAAGGAAAAACATATCACTTAATAAACACTTGTTTTAGGGGACTTCCCTGGCGGTCCAATGGCTGGGACTTCGCCAGGGATCAATGAGGGTTCGATCCCTGGTCCGGGAGCTGGGATCCCACATGCCTCGCAGCCAAAAAACCGAAACATGAAAAAAACCAGAAGCAATATCATAACAAATTCAATAAAGACTTTGAAAATTGTCCATATCAAAAAAAAAATCTTAAAAAAAACCCCCACTTGTTTTAGGTGAATCTATGACATCTCCCTTGAAGGTAATTTTTTTTTTTTCAAAGATCAAGACAGTTTGTTTTTTTAAATATTTATTTATTTTAATTTTAGCTGCATCGGGTCTTAGATGTGGGCTGTCTAGTTGTGGCCTGAGTGCTCAGTAGTTGTGGCAGGTGGGCTTAGTTGCCCCGTGGCATGTGGGATCTTAGTTCTCCGAGCAGGGATCAAACCTGCGTCCCCCTGCATTGGAAGGCAGATTCTTAACCACTGGACCACCAGGGAAGTCCCTCAAAGGTCAAGATAGTTTTATACTTAACTGAATTAAAATTAAACTGTAAACATGAAGACTACAATAACAAAAACAAGATAAAATAATATCATACAGTGAGAAGCAAGTGGATTTCCTAAGCGTAAAAAGCATCTGGAAATGACCTTCACCTTGAAATCAAATTTTGGTTTCTGTTCTATATGCTGTATGCGTGTTAATTATACTATTAAGAGAAACAACATCAAAAATCTTAATCCTTGGAATTACTGTGATATTAAAACCAAGGTGACGTAAGATTACTTAAAAAAATAAACACAGAACACAATTCTTTGCTTCAATGATGCTTAAAAAAAAAAAAAAAAAAAAAAAAAGGGAAAAAGGAAAACCCAAA